CTGAATGCACCGAGCTGTCTGTTTAAACTACTAGCACACAGCTCGGACACCCATGCATACCCCACAAGACATGCCACCAGAGGTCTCTGCACAATCCCAAAGTCCAGAGCAGACTATAGGAGGCGCACAGTACTACATAGAGCCAAGGCTACATGGAACTCTATTCCACATCAGGTAACTGATGCAAGCAATAGAATCAGATTGAAAAAAAAGGTAAAAATACACCTTATGGAACAGCGGGGACTGTGAAGAGACACACACACAGGCACAGACACACGCATACACGTGATAACACACACACTCTACACACAGGTACACATGGATTTTGTACTGTAGATACACTACATGACCAAAAGTATGTGGACACCTGCTCGTCAAACATCTCATTCCAAAATCCTAGGCATTTATATGGAGTTGGTCCCCCCTTTGCTGCTATAACAGCCTCCACTCCTCTGGGAAGGCTTTCCACTAGATGTTGGAACGTTGCTGAGGGGACTTGCTTCCATTCAGCCACAAGAGCATTGGTGAGGTCGGGCACTGATGTTGGGCGATTAGGCCTGGCTCACAGTCGGCATTCCAATTCATCCCAAAGGTGTTCAATGGGGTTGAGGTCAGGGCTCTGTGCAGGCCAGTCAAGTTCTTCTTCACCGATCTCGACAAACAATTTCTGTATGGACCTCGCTTTGTGCACAGGGGCATTGTCATGCTGAAACAGGAAAGGGCCTTCCCCAAACTGTTGCCACAAAGTTGGAAGCACAGAATCATCTAGAATGTCATTGTATGCTGTAGTGTTAAGATTTCCCTTCACTGGAACTAAGGAGCCTAGCCTGAACCATGAAAAACAGCCCCAGACTATTATTCCTCCTCCACCAAACTTAACAGTTGCACTATGCTTTTGGGTAGGTAGCGTTCTCCTGGCATCCGCCAAACCCAGATTAGTCCGTCGGACTGACAGATGGTGAAGCGTGATTCATCACTCCAGAGAACGTGTTTCCACTGCTCCAGAGTCCAATGGTGGCGAGCTTTACACCACTCCAGCCGACGCTTGGCATTGCGCATGGTGATCTTAGGCTTGTGTGCGGCTGCTTGGCCATGGAAACCCATTTCATGAAGCTCCCGACGAACTATTCTTGTGCTTCCAAAGGCAGTTTGGAACTCGGTAGTGAGTGTTGCAAACGAGGACAGACGATTTTTACGTGCTAAGCGCTTCAGCACTCGGCGGTCCCGTTCTGTGAGCTTGTGTGGCCTACCATTTCGCGGCTGAGCCGTTGTTGCTCCTAGACGTTTCCACTTCACAATAACAGCACTTACAGTTGACCGGGGCAGCTCTAGCAGGGCAGAAATATGATGAACTGACTTGTTGGAAAGGTGGCATCCTATGACGGTGCCACATTGAAAGTCACTGAGCTCTTCAGTAAGGCCATTCTACTGACAATGTTTGTCTATGGAGATTGCATGGCGGTGTGCTTGATTGTATACACTGTCAGCAACAGGTGTGTCTGAACTAGCCGAATCCACTAATTTGAAGGGATGTCCACATACTTTTGTATTTATACAAATACTCCCCATAGTCCAGCAGATATCTAAAATAATTGTGCATTTTATGATAAAATTATCAAACTTGGTACACGAATACTACACATTTTAAAGATTGGAAGCCTGGGAAGTCTGGGAAGCCTGTCAGTCAACTAGTAAAATGGCTGCCATTCAGATTTCCTGTTGGCCAGAAAGAGAACGACTGCGTTTCCGGATTTTCTGGAACGCTGACTTGCCAGGTATTTCTTTCAAATGTTCTACCCAGTGCTCAGACTGCTTCGCTACCGCTTCCCCCTCATTGACATGGAGGAGGAAACGTAATGTTGTACACTAAAGATATGGTTGACATGTTTGAACTATGCATTCCATGCCTCAAGAGCGATATCATGTTTTTTAGTGTACAACAACATTAGAGCAAAAAATCCTTATTTGCAGCCATAGCCTAGAAGAAAATAGGGTAAAATCATTCCAAACAATATCAAAATTACTTTGCAGCGTTATCTACTCAGTAAATAAACCCCACATACAGTGAGGGAAAAAAGTATTTGATTTTGTACGTTTGCCCACTGTCAAATACATGATCAGTCTATAATTGTAATGGTAGGTTTATTTGAACAGTGAGAGACAGAATAACAACAAAAAAATCCAGAAAAACGCATGTCAAAAATGTTATAAATTAATTTGCATTTTAATGAGGGAAATAAGTATTTGACCCCTCTGCAAAACATGACTTAGTACTTGGTGGCAAAACCCTTGTTGGCAATCACAGAGGTCAGACGTTTCTTGTAGTTAGCCACCAGGTTTGCACACATCTCAGGAGGGATTTTATCCCACTCCTCTTTGCAGATCTTCTCCAACTCATTAAGGTTTCGAGCCTGATGTTTGGCAACTCGAACCTTCAGCTCCCTCCACAGATTTTCAATGGGATTAAGGTCTGGAGACTGGCTAGGCCACTCCAGGACCTTAATGTGCTTCTTCTTGAGCCACTCCTTTGTTGCCTTGGCCGTGTGTTTTGGGTCATTGTCATGCTGGAATACCCATCCACGACCCATTTTCAATGCCCTGGCTGAGGGAAGGAGGTTCTCACCCAAGATTTGACGGTACATGGCCCCGTCCATCATCCCTTTGATGCGGTGAAGTTGTCCTGTCCCCTTAGCAGAAAAACACCCCCAAAGCATAATGTTTCCACCTCCATGTTTGACTGTGGGGATGGTGTTCTTGGGGTCATAGGCAGCATTCCTCCTCCTCCAAACACGGCGAGTTGAGTTGATGCCAAAGAGCTCTATTTTGGTCTCATCTGACCACAACACTTTCACCCAGTTCTCCTCTGAATCATTCAGATGTTCATTGGCAAACTTCAGACGGCCCTGTATATGTGCTTTTTTGAGCAGGGGGACCTTGCGGGCGCTGCAGGATTTCAGTCCTTCATGGCTTAGTGTGTTACCAATTGTTTTTTTGGTGACTATGGTCCCAGCTGCCTTGAAATCATTGACAAGATCCTCCTGTGTAGTTCTGGGCTGATTCCTCACCGTTCTCATGATCATTGCAACTCCACGAGGTGAGATCTTGCATGGAGCCCCAGGCTGAGGGAGATTGACAGTTATTTTGTGTTGGTCTTGTAGCCCATTCCAGCCTTGTGTAGGTCTACAATCTTGTCCCTGACATCCTTGGAGAGCTCTTTGGGCTTGGCCATGGTGGAGAGTTTGGAATCTGATTGATTGATTGATTCTGTGGACAGGTGTCTTTTATACAGGTAACAAGCTGAGATTAGGAGCACTCCCTTTAAGAGTGTGCTCCACACTCTTAAAGGGAGTGCTCCTAATCTCAGCTCGTTACCTGTATAAAAGACATCTGGGAGCCAGAAATCTTTCTGATTGTGAGGGGGTCAGATACTTATTTCACTCATTAAAATACAAATCAATTTATAACATTTTTTACATGGATTCTTTCTGGATATTTTTGTTGTTATTCTGTCTCTCACTGTTCAAATAAACCTACCATTTAAATTATAGACTGATAATTTCTTTGTCAGTGGGCAAATGTACAAAATCAGCAGGGGATCAAATACTTTTTTCCCTCACTGTATAATATAGACAATACTTATGTATTGTTTTACCCCCTTTTTTCTCCCCAATTTCGCAATATTACGATCTTGTCTCATCGCTCCAACTCCCCAACGGGCTCGGGAGAGGCGAAGTTCGAGTCACGCGTCCTACAAAACATGACCCGCCAAACTGCGCTTCTTAACACCCGCTCGCTTAACCCGGAAGCAAGCCACACCAGTGTAACGGAGGAACACCGTACAACTGACGACCGAAGTCAGCCTGCAGGTGCCCGGCCCGCCACAAGGAGTCGCTATAGCGCGATGAACCAAGTAGAGCCCCCCCGGCCAAACCATCCCCTAACCCGCCCTATGGGACTCCCGGATCGAACCCCAGGCTGTAGTGACGCCGCAACACTGCGATGCAGTGCCTTAGACCGCTGCGCCACTCAGGAGGCAATAGACAATACTTCTGATCATAAAGTACTCTTAAGACCTTCATGAAGGTCATATTGAGGTCGTTTCGACTATAGTCCTGCAGCTACGTGAATTTGTTTAAACTTTGTGATAGAGCCACCAAATTTCACACACAGCTAGGGCATGTCTAAAGAAGTAGTTTTTGAAAAAAGTTATAGAAATGTGGCAGAAAACCTACCCTGTACATGTCACTTTGGGTAAAATCCCATTATGTCCAGCAGAGAGACAGGTAACCCATTTTAATAAAATGCTTTTATGAGACCTTTCAGCCGTTACACAAAGTAAGTAAGAGTCTAAATAAAGATGTCTAGCTATAGTGCCATTGCAGATTTAACCTATTATACTCTGAAGGGCCAGTTTTTAAAATGACCGCCAACCAGCTCCATAGGGCCATATTGGACAGGATTCACATGGCCATATCTCCATAAATAATTGGTACATACACCCCAATGATGGCTTAAAATGTTTGAGTGGGTCTGTAAAACACAACAAAATGTCCCAGGTATGCCATATTTATGTATCCTTTAAAGATTTTGTAGAAAAATAGTGGCCAAATATATACCCATATTACTGATTCTTGAACATTTAGCCTACATTTTTGTCATTTAGCAGCCACTCTTATCCAGAGTGACTTACAGTTAATGCATTCATCTTAAGATAGTTATACAGGCAACCATATTATGTTAACATCCAAGGCTCTCTTTCCACTTCCTCTGAAAACCGGAACATCCGGCTTTTGGGGAATCGGCAGAGGCTAGCCTTTCTCAAACACTGCGTAGACTTGTCGGCTCTAGGGAGTGAGGGAGGCGGGGCGTGGAAACGGTGTACGACCGGTAAACATCTGGGACGGGAATGTAAAAACGATCAACGGTACGCTAACACGAAACCGCCTTAAACGGAGTGCCATTGGGGCATAAAGTAAAGTAAACTGTCCATCGGGCTTCCAATGGAAGCGGATGGTTTCGTGAGAAGGCGTCGGATGACAGCGGAGACAGCAGGCGGGGACGCCGGGGTTGCTGGAGCCTCAGCCGGCGCAGAGGTCCGATGGTTCGGGGGAAGGATCTGGGGAGTGTCGGAGAGCCTCGTTGGGAATTTGTCTCCCCGGATCGGAGGTGAGACAGAGATTCAGACTGTTCAGTTCAGCGACGACCCTCCTGAAATAGCAGATGCTTCGGAACCGGAGTATGAGGGTTTGCCGCAAGGCGCTTCCACCAGCACCCACATGTTTGCAGGAGCAGTGGCTGGGATCATGGAGCATTGCCTGATGTTCCCCATCGACTGTGTCAAGGTAACGTGGTAGGCTATGCTGGGCTAGCGTTAGCCGCTAACAAGTTAGATAGTTAACCGTCTGGGCTTGGAACTTGGGCACATTGCATTAGATGGTTGGAAATTACTTTGCCTCGTCATGATGTGGCTTCAGCCACCATGCGAATCCGAATGGTGGCCACCTTGTCAATAAGTTTGTCAGTCACAGCACAGATGAGGCAAGGTCGAAACCAGACTGGCTAACTTAGCATGCTAACGAGCTAACTTCCATCCACTGCGAATTGCATTGGCTCTAACTACTCTACTTGCAAGGTTAGGTAACGTTAACTGCAGTTAACAAGTTAGATTTGTCACAAAATTAGTCGCCATATTAATTAGTTTAACTTTGGCATACAGGATTTCATTGAAGTTGAAAGTTAAACACTTAGGAAGTGTATTTTGCTGTGGTTGTCATCTTCTTAGCTAGCCATCTTAGCCTTAGGTAGCTAACGTTAGTTAGCTAACCAAACCAGCAAGGTCGGCCTCTGGCTGTGCATCGGCTCGAGCCTGGGGGTCAATGTTGATTAGCTAGTACTGTAGCTAGCTATTTAGTTAGCGCCTGATATAATGGGTTTAGGCTTAACATTTTCATAATGAATCTTACTCTATTCCCTATTGTTATTAGTGCTCTATTGTCACTAGTAGTTTTTCATACTAATTACACGCAAAGTTACGTTATTATTATTTTTGGAAAAAGAGACAGCTAGAATGAGGCAGCACGTGTGCCCCATTTCCTGTACATGTATACAAATCACATGAACCGCTCACTGTTGCCCACCAGCTAGCTAGGTGACTAGTAACGGTACGTGACTATGTGATCAATTAGTAGCTAACGGTACTATTGAAAACGTTCCAAACTGCTTTTAGCATGTATATGGCTTCTAGGTGTAACTCCCTGTATTTCCAAAATATCCCTGTATTCAAGAAGAGAACCCACAGGTTAGATAAACTACAGGGACCCTGGATTCGGTCAAATAGTCTCTAAGATTTAGTCAATGGGCAAGTTCGTTTTGCATGGCCCGGTACCCGGGTGGGTGGATATCACATAAAAACCAATGGAATGTTCATCAATGAGGAAACTCCGCACACCCGGGGCATCGGGCCATGCAAAACGAACTTGCGCAATGCTAATTGCTACCTGGCAGCATTTAGATGGGGTGAAACTGTTCTTTGTTGACAGAAAATACAGGGCTGGATGTTCTGGGATTAAGAGCACAATGCTTCTATGTTGTTGTGCTCATTATGCAGAATTAGGCTGACAAGTTGGCTCTACCACTGCACACCCTAAGAACCATAGTTCTGTTATTGTTATAATACTTTAAATTCGTTTTGGATGAAGTACTTCCTGGGGATGACTTGGGTGTTATGTAAACAAGATGTGGTAAGTTACATTTTGATAGGCCCATTCACTGATTTAGGTCTACTCAGCAAAGAGCTGTAGCACATGAGAGCCATGCCATTTGTCTGGTATAGTCTTATTATGTGATCCCTGAAGAGATAGTCATGATTTGGTCCCTGATGGAAATGATTGGTCCTGTTCGAGAGCATCAAAACCGTGATGTATCATGGGTCAATTGTGACTGACTGATCTACAAATAATATTGAGTAGTTATTTATGATTCAGGGAGATTTGTAGACAGCTGCAATGTCAAACGATCATTGTGTACTACTGCGCAGTTAGCAGAGACGGCGCAACCGAGTCAGTGCAGTCTGGTAGGGAGAGGAGTCAGCTGTTAGTGTCAGGTGGGAGAGCAGGGCTCTCTCAGAACAAAGCAGAGATTCATCCGTCTTTCCCAGCTGTAGTTCCCACCTCTGATCCAGGTGTTGCTAACACAGCTTGGGCTTAGTCTCAGTAGTCTAAGGTGGCTTCCTCTCCCCGTCACCTCTCTTTTCACCGACATGAAAGAACAGGACAGTCGAATCAAAACATGTTCCCAGTTGGCATCCAGCCACTGTGTTGCTTTCACATATACTGCGTTTTCAGATGCGCGCAGGTGAATTAAAGTGTCTTTTAGAGTATTGAGGTGCAGCCCAGACAGTACTTGCTGAGGAAGGGCAGCCTGAGACACACTGCACAGACTCACTGATCTATAAATCATGTCACCTGTCAAACAACATGGCATTAACCGTCTCTACTTATAAACACATTAGCAGATCTCTACAGAGGGGACCCTAGCTCAAGCTGACAGCTGACCCCAGTGGACTAGCACTGACACAAACAAACACACACACAGTTAATAATCCTTGGAAAATAGCTTGCAGTGGTTGTCACACAGATTGCACGGTAGAGATAATGTCAACTTGTTGTTTACGCTCATTCTAAAGGTTGAGGTTAGAAAGGCTCTTTCCCGGGAAGCTAAGCTCTCTGCAATACACAACAGTCTATAGGCTCCAGATACCCCTGCATCAGGGCCGAGCGAACTGTTTTCATTTCCTTTAACATTGATTTATATCGAAGTCTCATTGAGACATTGACATCAAATATCTTACAAGATGGCGATGTTACCAAAGTTTCACACACAAATACAGGTACTGCTACATTATGCATGCATGGTTGGTTGACGTGTAGGAGTCTGGTGTTACGTCTCTTATAGGCCCAGCATTCCACATAGCTTTACAGTTCCTGGACAGCACACACACACACACTGACACACACAGTGACACACACAATGCAGCAAGCAATCAGCATGTGTTGTCCATTCAGCTGTAGCCCAGGCCTCTCTTTTGGTTGTTATTAGACCCTCTATGCTTTTCGCTGCACTAGCTGGCCCCTGGCCTCACAGAGCGAGGATGAACCCTGAACCTTGACACTGGCCAAGCGATAAGGTGTGTGTGTGTATGTGAGGTCAGGGCGTGTGAGTGCTGCTGGGGGGAAAGAGGCTTACAGGAAGGCAGCTTATGTCCCTCTGACCTTGGGTCTCGTTGTTCAACACTTCCCTCTGTTTAACACTAGGGATGGGCGTGAGTACTCAATGTTCAAACATGCAACTATTTAGCAAGTGGAAGCACTGACAATATTATCACTTGCTGTTTTTTAATTGATTACAACTAGTGTATTCATCCCACCTCTGCTCAGATTTAATTCTAACATGGAAGTTGCTCAAATGTAATTTAAACGTTATGGTTGGAGTAAGGTATGGCAAGATTAAAGAAGTGTATGGTTAGGTTATGACTTGGCTAACCAATAGGTGTGTGATCTCTAACCTCTCCCCTGTGTAGACGCGAATGCAGAGCCTACAGCCTGAGCCTGCCGCCCGCTACCGGAATGTGATGGACGCGCTTCGGCGAATCATAACCACCGAGGGTGTCTGGCGACCAATGAGAGGGCTGAATGCCACGGCTGTGGGGGCGGGACCGGCGCATGCTCTCTACTTCGCCTGCTACGAGAAACTGAAGAAGAGTCTGGGTGACATCATCCACCCCGGGGCTAACAGCCATCTGGCCAACGGTATACCGGGAACACAAAGCACACACACAAGTCATATACAGTGCATTTGGAAAGTATTCAGATCCCTACAATGAAGCATGGTGGTGGCAGCATCATGCTGTGGGGATGTTTTTCAGCGGCAGGGACTGGGAGACTAGTCCGGATTGAGGGAAAGATGAACAGAGCAAAGTACAGAGATATCCTTGATGAAAACCTGCTCAGGACCTCAGACTGGGGTGATGGTTCACCTTCCAACAGGACAACGACCCTAAGCACACAGCCAAGACAACGCAGTTGTGGTTTCGGGACAAGTGGTTTCGGGACAAGTCTCTGAATGTCCTTGAGAGGCTGTAATGTAACAAAGTGGAAAAAGTCAAGGGGTCTGAATAATTTCCGAAGGCACTGTGCACCCACAAAGCAAGCTCACAAAACGCACATGTGCGCATACCAAGCCTATACTTCTCCTCTGCAACCTACAGTTTTTTCTAGTAAACACTACCAGTTAATTTGGTGTTTCCAGTACTCTTTTTAGCAACTCAAACAAGTAGTGAAGATTTATTTAGCTGTTGTCCTGTAGAGATAATCTTGGTTCACACTGCAGAGAGGGAGAGGCCCTTTTCTTCTCTGGGCACTAAGCGGATGCTGCTTGAACTAACCTAGATGAACCTTGCTCTCTCTGAGTTGTGTGGGTGGGTGAGTGAGTCAGCCTGCCAGTTATAACACCTGGGGCAGAATGGCTGGGGAGTGGTGGTGCTACATACCCCCTATAGCCCCATTTTCTGGACAGTAGAGAGGACTAATGCCTGTGCTATACTCCAGGCTCGCTCATGCCCAGTACAATAAGCAGGCCCTGGTTCTTCTCTTGGTTTCGTCCTAGGTTCCTGCCTTTCTAGGGAGTTGTTCCTAGCCACTGTGCTTCTGCATTACTTGCTCTAAGGGTTTTTTTAGTCTGGGTATCTGTATAACTGCTGATGTAAAAAGAGCTTTAGAAAATACATTTAATTGATTGATTGGCCTGAAACTAAGTTGTTGGTCCACCCGCCAGTGTGATGAAAAACATCACCAGGCACTATGGCGGTTGATCAGCTGGTGGCGGGTGCTAATTCCGGCCCAGCAGGGTAGTAGGAGTGGGATCTATCTGGCCATGGGGCTGATATGACCCTGTCTGTATGGTCAGCATTCTGCTGAGTCAGCCAGATTCACAAATAGACCACTGCCAAAGACTGACTGCACGCCACGTTACGCCGGCTGGGTCCACCACTCATCAGAGACCTTCAGAGGGGAAGGAAAGATGCTAATATTACTGCAGGAATTCTTTCTGTCACCCATAGAGCTACAACTAGAGTATCTGAAAAGAAAGCAGCCTGTAGTTAGAGTCAGACAAACAGTGCTCTGAGAGTTCACTAAGTCACTGCCATCAAGGTCTGTCCACACACTGTTCAAATTTGCAGGACACGAAACTTGAAACAGTTTACTCAGACCAAGCAAGTACTAGAGAATCTTGCTCTATTTATCCCTGTTTCTGTTCTCTGCCATTTCTTTCTCTTCCCTTCTTCCCAGGTCAGCTGTCTCTTCCTTCCCTCTTTTTTTATTCTCTCTTCTTCCCCCCTCCCTTGTTTCCAGGTCAGGGGAGAGGCAGGGTAGGAGATTGCAGACCTGCCCAGTAGAGGAAGAGAAGTCTTACTCTGGTCCATCAGGAGTGATGATGTCCTGTTTTACCACTAGAGAGAACATCTGGCCTCTCCTCACCCCCTCTCTCCTCCGGTCTTTCATTCATCTGGCCTCTCCTCACCCCCTCTCTCCTCCGGTCTTTCATTCGTTCTCTGCGATCTCTCTCTCTCGTTGTTTTTCACTGTTGAGGTATGTGTTACAGGTACGGCGGGGTGTGTGGCCACATTACTTCATGACGCAGCCATGAACCCATCTGAAGGTAAATCTCTCCATCTATAAATAATCTATATCTCTTTCCCTGGGTGGAGGCCAGGGACACAGGTGCTAGTCTCAGGGGTCACTGCGTTGAACCTGCTTTTCTCCATCTGACACATGGGGTGTATTCAGGGGATGTTCTTTGCTGCAGATAAACTACTGTGTCAGAGCTCCTTCTGCAGGTGTAGCGCCTAGCTATTCTAGGGCCTAGCCTTTTACTCTGCACTGCTAGCTAGGAGGAGAGGGCAGAGTGGAGGGGGAGACTGAGAGAAAGATGGGAGGTAGGGTGGTGGGGGAGACTGAGAGAAAGATGGGAGGTAGGGTGGTTGGGGGAGGAGAATGAGGAGAAAGAGGGGAGGTATGGTGGAGGGGGGACTGAGAAAGATGGGAGGTAGGGTGGTGGGGGGAGACTGAGAGAAAGAGGGGAGGTAGGGTGGAGGTGGAGCCTGAGAAGAGGAGGCTTGTGGTGGTGAAGACAAGAAAAGAGGGAGGGTGCTGAGGGAGCTGAGAAGAGGGGAGGTAGGTGTGGGAGGGGGGGACTGGAGAAATGGGAGGTAGGTGTGGTGGGGGGACGGAAAACAGAGAGGTAGGGTGGAGGGGGACTGGAGAAAGATAGATTGAGGTAGGGTGGAGGGGGAGACTGGAGAAAGATAGGGTGGTGGGGGAGACAGAGAAGAGAGGGGAGGTAGGGTGAAGGGGGAGACTGAGAGAAAGAGGGGAGGTAGGGTGGTGGGGGAGACAGAGAAAGAGGGGAGGTAGGGTGGAGGGGGAGACTGAGAGAAAGAGGGGAGGTAGGGTGGAGGGGGAGACTGAGATAAAGAGGGGAGGTAGGGTGGAGGTGGAGACTGAGATAAAGAGGGGAGGTAGGGTGGTGGGGAGGAGCATGGCCAAGAGCGAAAGAGGGAGAAATAAAGACGGGGATATAGAGGGAGGGAGCAGGGTTGAGGGGGAGATGTGGAGAGAGAAGCTCCCCTCGGGTCCTGTCCCTATACTGTACCCAACCACCAGCTGTAGACTAGAGACAGGACTTTGATGACATGCCTGGACAGGTGCTCCTCAGGCAGCTGTTTAGGGTGGAGGCCAGGGACACAGGTGCTAGTCTCAGGGTCTAGGGTAACACACGGGTCACTGCTTTTAACTTCAACAGCCTAAATAAATATGTTAAACCCTTTGAGGATGTTATGACTGTTCCCATTTTTATTAGGACAATAATTTGTGTATTTCTTTATCATTCTCTGGACTATGTTCCTGGTCCCTGATGATGGAAACACACCTGGCAATCCTTCTTTCCATCCCTCCGATACTTCCCTCTGCTCACCTATCCATCCCTCCCAATGCTTCCCTCTGCTCACCTATCCATCCCTTCCTTCCTCCCCTCTACTCACCTATCCCTTGTTTTCTTTTATGCTGCTCTCCTCGCTTTCTTCCCCCATTCCTTCTCTCTCTTCCACCATTCTCCCCTTTCTTACTCCCTCTTCGGGTCATCTCTCTGTCCCACCTTCCGTCTCTCTGTCCCACCTTCCGTCTCTCTGTCCCACCTTCCATCCCTCTGTCCCACCTTCCGTCTCTCTGTCCCACCTTCCGTCTCTCTGTCCCACCTTCCGTCTCTCTGTCCCACCTTCCGTCTCTCTGTCCCACCTTCCGTCTCTCTGTCCCACCTTCCGTCCCTCTGTCCCACCTTCCGTCCCTCTGTCCCACCTTCCGTCCCTCTGTCCCACCTTCCATCTCTCTGTCCCACCTTCCATCTCTCTGTCCCAACTTCCATCTCTCTGTCCCAACTTCCATCTCTCTGTCCCAACTTCCATCTCTCTGTCCCAACTTCCGTCTCTCTGTCCCAACTTCCGTCTCTCTGTCCCAACTTCTGTCTCTCTGTCCCACCTTCCGTCCCTCTGTCCCACCTTCCATCTCTCTGTCCCACTTTCCATCTCTCTTCCATCTCTCTGTCCCACCTTCCATCTCTTTGTCCCACCTTCCGTCCCTCTGTCCCACCTTCCATCTCTCTTTTTCTCCCTGTCCAGTGGTGAAGCAGCGTTTGCAGATGTATAACTCTCCGTACCGCGGTGTGATGGACTGTGTGCGCGCCGTGTGGCAGAGCGAGGGCGCTGCAGCCTTCTACCGCTCCTACACCACACAGCTGACCATGAACGTCCCCTTCCAGGCTCTCCACTTCATGACCTACGAGTACCTCCAGGAGCTGCTCAACCCCCACAGACAGTACAACCCCTCCTCACACATGGTGTCTGGGGGCCTGGCCGGGGCCATTGCTGCTGCAGCCACCACCCCTCTGGATGTCTGCAAGACCCTGCTCAACACCCAGGAGTCCCTGGTGGGTGTCGCCGCTGCAGGCCAGGGTGGAGGTCAGGCGCAGGGGACACACAGACACATCACAGGCCTGGCCCATGCCTTCCGGACAGTGTACAGGCTGGGCGGCCTGCCTGGGTTCTTTAAAGGAGTCCAGGCCAGGGTGATCTATCAGATGCCCTCCACAGCCATCAGCTGGTCCGTCTATGAGTTCTTCAAGTACGGAATCACCAAGCACCAGCACGAGAAGAGGATAGCGCAGCAGAGGGAGGGAGAGAAGTAGAGGAGGAAAAATAAAGAAAAACCTATTTTCTTTCAGCCATCTCTCTTCACCATCTCTTCCTTTTTTGCTCTATCAACACACTTCCTTTTCCCTTCGGAGCATGCAGGTGTTCAGAGCGAGGGAGAAATGAAAGAGGAACGGAGAGGAAGAATCGATACGCACATAAACCAACCAATACCCACCTCTTATTTACCCCCGTTCAGACTGCCAATAAGAGACCTCCATGTGTGGCTCAACCAATAACATCCCTGCTAAACTGTTTGAAACTGAGATTTTACAATACGCTATGAAAGTGAATACGTCATGTTATCAATTTATACCATATAACAACGCACATAAATGTCAACCTGAAAAAGTTGATTCTGTTTTGCTTGTCTCCTGCGGATTTCTGTTGTGAAATATGTGAAGTGTCCAGTTCCTTTCATAGAGTATTGTTGTGATGATTTCGACAACAGCTGTTCTGTCAGTGTTTCTTAAAGGCAGAATATGACATCATCATACACAGACAGTGGGCCACTTCCTGCTTTAGGAAATTAACAACAAGATCGTCTAATTGAGGCGCAGATTGGAAATAGCCAGTAGTGGCGGTCATCTTGGCAGATTTGCATTCTGTTATGTGTAAGAGGGAAGTTGCCCAGCTTTGTATGATGTTCTATTGCTGAGTCTACCTGTAGAGTTAATTATTGCGGTTACTTTATCTGGATGAGAATGTTGTTCACTGTATGCCCCACCAGGGGCCACTGTGACCATCCCAGTAAAGCTGTTGAGTAATATAATATGACCAGGTGTGAGTGACAGAGTCAGCCTTTAGGGGGCTTTAGTGTAAACTCAGACAATAGTTTATAGGCTTCAGGTACAAGATGGCCGTAACCCCATATCTAGGATCAGTTTGTCGTTTCGTCATTCTTATCTTAACTGTTGGGGGATGAAAGAATATCTGATCCTAGACCAGTGGTTAGGAGCAACTTCTACCTTCAGAACTGGTAGAGATGCGAAGGGAGTCCTCTTCTCGACGTTTAAAATCAGGAATTTCTCTCAAAATGGTTGCATACAATATACATAGTATATAGTATACTTGTTACATATATATTGGTGAATTTAAATGATAACAAATTTTTTCATTAAACCAGATAAAATGTTATGTCAAATATTGATATAGACTTAATTTATTGTTGACAGTAAGTACAGTAATTATTTTCTGAGAGAGGAACTATTGAGTTTTAGTTTTGTGTGATTCCTGAACACCTACAGGACTGACATTAGTTGGCTGACATTGCTGTTCACCATGGATGTTTGGACATTTCATTGGAAGATCATTTCCATCCTGCCTTCTTATTTGCACTGATGTAAGGAGAGCAGGGGAGGATGTTGTTTGCCCAGATCTCACTTTGTGCTTTTGTTTTGAGTAGATCAAATTCTTGGATGGGTTAGCCTACACAGGCGGCAGGTAGCCTAGCAGTTAAGTGCGTTGAGTCAGTAACCGAAAGGTTGCTGGTTCGAATCCACGAGCCGACTACATGAAAAATATGTTGATGAGCCCTTGAGCAAGTCACTTAATCTTGATTGCTCCAGTATGTCGCTCTGGATAAGACTACAATAACTAAACACACTTCAGTTTACAGTCACACCCTTGTTTTACCTTGACTGACCTGTTCCTGTATTAACAAGCACACATGAAGGTTTAGACGGGACAGGTTGGTTAAAGCAGAAGCTGGCTGGCACACAGAATATTGATTCCCATACATTAAGCCAAATCCACACTGCAGAGACATGTTTACATCATGGGAATGTTACGGTCTGGCCCTGACTAAAGGATCAAGAAGGAAAGAGTTCATGTTTCAGGAGAACTTCCATTAAAACGTTTCTGCGCAAGTCATCTGTTTGTTTAATAAGCTGTTATAAAGACTTCAGGTAGAAGGTACCCTTAGACACAGATCTAGGATCAGCTTCCGCTCCCTAAATACTAATTTACCATTAGAGAGAGAATGCTAAACTGGCCTTAGATCAGTGACTAGAGGTGTAACATCATTCTACTCTTAAGGGCCTTATCCATGACACTGATCTCTTAACAATAATTGGTCTTTTGACTAATCCGATCATATCTTTTGCCGATAATTGGGCACCAGATCAGAATTGGGCTGCCTGTGTAAACGTAGCCTATGAGGCCTCAGCTGTGTGTTTGGATGATGAATGCAGCTGATCAGTCTTAATGACCTCTGTCTGACTGTAACCTGTAATACTGTGTGATCAATAAACAGAGCAGTAGACTCCCTCAAGCTGCCCACAGACGCTGTTACACCTGTTTGCATTGTTTGTTTTCATACACACAGACACATTCACCTTTCCTCTCTTAGCAAAAAAAAATGTAGTAGAATCTCACATACTGCGATCAAAAGCTTAAAGGCCGTTTTTATGACGATATCAAATATTTTCTGGGTAACAATTAAGTACCAAACTGTAATAGTTGTCCATCAAAATGGTTCAAAAGAAACAAAAATTGCATTTTAGCAACAACAAAGAAATGTACTATTCCTCAAGCAAGAATTTTGTTAGGACTGTCTGGGAGTGGTCTGAGTTGGGAGGGGAAAACTGAAAACTAGCTGTTATTGGCAGAGAGGTTTGGAACTCTCTTTGTTATTGGACTATTAACTAAAGTACTGCTTGATGATGTCCCAGGGAAACTGAAACTCCACCCTTGCAAAACCCGCTGATAAGAAGGTCCTGTGTAGATTGTATTTTTAACCAGGAAATAACACTGAATAAATGTGTTCACACTTTTACAGTGTTATATTCATCAGCTGTTGTACAGTATGATACAAAACACAGGAAAAACTGAATTTTGACTGGACTGTGCCTTTAAACAGCAGTTTGTGTCATCTATATATCTCTATTGTCATAGTAATGCACATGGCAGGTGAATGCAGAAATGTTTTAGTGCTTCCTGGATAGCCTGCTGATAAGAAAATAAAGCCAATATATTTTTTGAATGTGTGTGGACTCGCACGTGGTTCAGGTATTTGCTCTCCTGACACGCACACACACACACACATCAGCTCTGAAGGCTCTCTGTCGGTGGCAGGTATTGTGTTCAGGCTGAGGCACAGGTGCAGATCTGAACTTTCACCCTGCGACCCAAAACATGACCGCCTCGCTCACACACCCACACACAGCTGGGTCTCCTTTACCTGTGAGTGTATCACAGGAGGTTGGTGGCACCTTAATTGGGGAGTACAGGCTCATGGTAATGGCTGGAGCGCAATAGGTGAAATTGTATCAAATACATTAAGCACATGGTTTCCATGTGTTTGATGCCATTCCATTCGTTCAGTTCCAGCAGTGGTGGAAAAAGTACCCAATGGTCATACTTGAGTAAAAGTAAAGATACCTTAATAGAAAGTGACTCAAGTAAAAGTGAAAGTCACCCAGTAAAATACTACTTGAGTAAAAGTCTAAATGTATTTGGTTTGAAATATACTTAAGTATCAAAAGCACATGTAATTGCTCAAATATACTTAAGTATCAAAACTAAAAGTATAAATCATTTAAAATTCCTTATATTAAGCAAACCAGACTGCACCATTTGTATTTATTTACAGATAGCCAGGGGCACGCTCCAACACTCAGACATAATTTTCAAACAAAGCATTTGTGTTTAGTGAGTCCGCCAGATCAGAGGCAGTGGAGATGACCAGGGATGTTCTCTTGGTAAGTGTGTGAATTGGACCATTTTCCTGTCCTTCTAAGCATACAAAATGTAACGAGTACTTTTGGGTGTCAGGGAAAATGTATGGAGTAAAAAGTACATTATTTTCTTTAGGAAAGTAGTGGAGAAAAGTAAACGTCAAAAATATACCCCAAAAACGACTTAAGTAGTTTAAAGTTTTTTTACTTAAGTACTTTAGACCACTGGGTTCCAGCCATTATTCCTCCCCTCAGCAGCCTCTACTGGAGTGTGTGGCTGGTTACAGACCACATTCAGAGCAATAGAACATTCCCAATGTAAAGAAGCCGGATGAATTAATTAATTTCTCAACCTGGACAATAACGTTGTTGATGAATTGATTGAGGAATGTTGCATTAAGGTTGAGCCACTGTACATGTGATGATCATGGTTGTTTCCCCTTCCTGATGAATGAACTTATTGTACAGTAAATCACTGTAGTGTCTGCTGACTGATTTGTTAATGTTGAACAGAGAGGGGTATAGAGAAGTAGCTTAAAGCATGGTGTCCTCTGGTTAGCTACAGTAAGGCAGTGATGTTTTAGACAAGCAGCTTTAGGAAGAATCAGCTCCCTTTCACACAGCTTCAAGTGTAGAGTGATGTCCCACTGGCTCATATCACACAAACACACACACACACAGACACAGACATGCACATACACACACACTCACTCACACATTGTCTCTTGTCAGCCAGACACCTATTCAAACAGCGAGTGTTAATGAGCCATCTGTCTGTCTGTGTGTCTGTCTGTCTGTGCATGTGTTTGGCCCTTCCCCTCTCTTCCTCTCTGTGGTTTAGCTAGCTGAAGCTTGCCCCACCAAGCCTCTGTTGATGCTCCTCATGAGAGCCTGACTGCGTGTGTGCCGTCTCTTGCCTACCAATCTCCCAGCCTAATGTAAACTATTTAGTCTGAAGCTAAGCCCTGTTGGTGTGTGTGTGTGTGCGTGTGTGTGTGTGTGTGTGTGCGTGTGTACATGCATTTGTTACTAGTTTGAAAACAAATGAAAGTTTTGCCTCTATTATCTGATAGGAATGTATTTGGTAGGTAAATGATGAACACGAAGACCACAGGACAGAAGTGGGACCAGGGGACTACTAATTCCCATTAGTAATGGTAGCTGTACAGTATATAGTGTTGAGTCAACAGACGCTGTGGCTGGAGGTCCCTCCACGTCTGGCACAGCAACACAATTTACCTGTGACTTTATTCATGATATAGCACAGCCTCGTGTGTCTTACTGCTTAAAGATGTGCTCCGGAACTTTAGCGACTACTAAATATTTT